TCTGTATCCAGTATAGAGTATATCAAGAGATAAGGATTCTTTTTGGAAAAATAGTCATACTCCCATTATCATCCCTAAGAAGATAAACAATACCTTTCTTATGGATTTTTATTTTATTTTAAAGATTTATTTATTTATTTGAAAGAGTTACTCAAACTGGCACCCATAGGGGATGCCAGCACCGCAGGCTTTACCCGCTATACCACAATGCTGGCCCCCCTTATGGATTTTTAATAAATGGTATTGGGACGTCTGGCAGTTTTTTGAAATTTGCCAGAATCACCCATACCTCATGTTGTACATCAGAATGGACCCCAAGAGGATCAGAAATCTAAATGTGGAAATGTAAACCGTGGGGCTGGCGCTGTGGCGCAGCCAGTTAATGCCCTGGCCTGAAGCGCTGGCATCCCATGTGGGCGCCGATTCTAGTCCCGGCTGCTCCTCTTCCGATCCAGCTCTCTGCTATGGCCTGGGAAAGCAGTAGAAGATGGCCCAAGTGCTTGGGTCCCTGCACCCATGTGGGAGACCCGGAAGAAGCTCCTGGCTCCTGGTTTCGGATTGGCACAGCTCCGGCCATTGTGGCCATCTGGAGAGTGAAGCAGCAGACAGAAGACCTCTTTCTCTCTCTGCCTCTCCTCTGTCTGTGTAACTCTGGCTTTCAAATAAATAAATAAATCTTTTTTAAAAAATGTAAACCGTGTGCATCCTAGGAGAAGACATGGGTATGTGATGAGGAAAGCCCCACCTACTTAGAATTACGCCTCACAATTCAGATGACCAGGGGCCGGTGCTGCGGTGCAGCGGGTTACGCCACGGCCTGAGTGCCGGCATCCGTTACGGGCGCTCTCCAGGGGGCGCTCGAGGCTCGGCCGTGTGATAGGCAGACATCCCAAGGTGGGCTGAGCCTCCGCGGTGAGCTTCAGGAGGACCTCACCGCCAGCGCTGCTGGGCCGGCGGAGCAGCCCGGCCCGTGGAGGGGGATTTGGTGTGTTTGCTGCTTGCCCCGCAAGGGTTCTGAGAACTCACTTGGCAGATGCTCTCCACAGACAGAGAGCGCTATGCCAGGCTTCTTGGGCTGCAATGTGGTTGCAAAATATTAGGACTCACCTGGATGCCTGCTTAGATGCGGGCCAGGACTCCAGTCAGCCTGGCGTCAGCCGCTGGCACCAAACAAACAGCCCCAGCGGCAGAGCTGCTCAGCTTTCTGCCTTCTATGCAGGAAGGGAAAGACGGATAGGACATTCCATAAACTCCGAGTGACTGGCTCTGGGCGTGAGTGTGAAGGGGGGGATAAGGACACAAGTGAGACTTGTGCTCATGCCTTATATAGATTTGGAATGAGCCATGGAGATGTTGTCATATTCAGAAAATAAGATTCAGAAAAGAATGAAAAAAGCAAACTCTAAATTAAGGGCAGATGAGCAAATCTCATCTCTATAGCAAATTGTTGGCATAGTCATTCAGAAAAATGAATTAATTCAACATTCTGGCTGTACCCCCTAGGAGAGCTCAGCCTTAATGGGATGCCATTTCATACAGTAGCCACTAGCCACCTGCTGCCACTTGTTTAAATACTTGAATTAAAATTTTAAATTATTTATTTTCATTGTATTTGAAAGGCAGAGAAACATGAAGAGAGGGGGACAGACAGATCTTCCATCTGCTGGCTCACTCCCCAAATGCCTGCAGCAGCTGGGGCTGGGCCAGGCTGAAGCCAGGAGCCCGGATCGCAGTCCAGGTCTCTCATGTGGGTGACAGGGGCCCACGCACTTGAGCCGTCACTGCTGTTTCCCAGGGAGCGCGTTAGCAGGAAGCCGGAATTGGAAGCAGAGTAGTCAGACCTCGAACCCAGGCACTCCAATATGGGATGTGGGCGTCCCAGCTGCTGCCCCAAATGCCTGCCCCTTAAGTTAAAGCACTTGCTATGGCCTGAGTGCTTGCATCTCTTGCAAAACTCATGTTGCAACGTGATCCTCAGTGCAACAGGATTAAGAGGTGGGGCCTTTAGGCAGTGCTGCGTGGGATTAGCAGCCTTACAGACAGGCTGGAGGGAAAGCTGGCTCTCTTTGCCGCTCTGTGCCGCACTGTGCGCGCCCGTGTGGAGCTGCAGCACGCAGGCCTCCCCCAGGTGCAGGCATTTGGCCTGGTGGGTAAGAGGCCCGCTTCCGCCCTCAGAGTTCCCGTGTTCAGCCTCAGCTCCTGGCTTCAGCTTCCCATCAGTGTGGACCCAGGGAGGCACTGCTGCTGGCTCAGGTAATTGGATTCCTGCCGCCCAGTGGGAGACCAGCATTGTCCTTCTGGCTCCTGGCTCTGGCCACACCCAGCCTTGCTTATTGCAGAATCTGGAGAGGGAACCGGCAGAGGACAGCATTTGCTCTCTGCATTCACCCACCCCACCGCCCCAGTAAATAAAACATTAACAAAGAAGGCGCTCACTAGACACCAAGTGCCGGTGCTTTGGTCTTGAACTTCTCAGCCTACAAAACATGAGATAATTTCTGTTATATATAAAGTTCCCAGATATTTTGTCCGAACAGCAAAAACAGACTAAGGTAACAAGTAAACTAAAACGCCTGAGTTCAGTTCCTCAGTCACATGAGCCACACGGCAAGTGCGTGGCAGCCACACGTGGCCAGACGTTGCCGCCGATGCTCTGGGCTCCTCCAGACGAGGAGATCTGGAGGACGGGGAGTGCAGGGGAGTCTGGATTTTCTCCTGGTGATCTGCGATGGCGATTCCGAAGCTGAATGCTGAAGGGCAGAACGTGGTCCTTATCGGGAAGTGCGCTCTTGCGGAAGGAGAAGCGATGATCCGGAGAGATGAGGCGCTCCCTGAGGTCTTAGCACGGAAACTCCACCCCCTGACGCAGGGGGCGCTGGCTGCAGACCTTGTTCTAAACGCCATCCACCGAGCAGTTGCTGGCTCCAGAAAGTGTCAGACCAGCCTGTGCCGGAGGAGAGTGCCCGAGCACTGGTGGGAATGGGCCTGGGGGACGCAGGTGTGGGGCAGAGACATCCAGCATGCACTGAGCCAGTGATGACGGTGATGATGATGGATTAGAACACAGTGCATTCAAACTGGCGCGACAGTGAAGGGGCAGGGAGAAGGGAGGGACTTTCTTGGAGTAGAATGCTAATAAATGTAACAGGAGTGATGGAGTTAGATAATCACTGATTTTTAAAAATGTTTTAAAACTATTTCAGGGGCCAGCACTGTGGCATGGCAGGTAAAACTGCCCCATGCAGTGCGGGCATCCCATGTGGGTGCTGGTTTGAGTCTTGGCTGCTCCACTTCTGATCCAGCTCCCTGCTAATGTGCCTGGGAAAGCATCAGAGTATGGCCCAAGTCCAGTGGAAGATGCCCCAAGTCCTTGGGCCCCTGCACCCAAGAGAGACCTGGAAGAAGCTCCAGGCTTCTGATTTCAGACCTGCTCAGCTCCAGCCATTGCAGCCATTTGGGGAATGAAACAACAGATGGAAGACCCCTTTCTCTCCCCCCCCCAACCGCCTTTTCCAATAAATATTTTTAAAAAACTGGAGAGAGGGGGAGAGAGAGACACAGAAAGGGCATGCTCTCCCATCCCCTGGTGCACTTTCCAAATGCCTGCAGTGGCTGGGCCAAGGCCGGGGCCAAGGCCAGGGCCAGGAGCTGGGAACTCAATCCAGTTCTCCCACATGGGCGGCAGGAGCCCTGTCTCTTGAGCCATTGCTGCTGTGTCCCAGGGACTGCATGGGTAGGAAGCTGGACTCAGGAGCGGGAGCCAGGACTTGAATCCAGGCACTTGGATATGGGAACCCGCACCTTAACTGCTAGGCCAAATGCCAGCCCCACACCCCCCCCATGACCACTGGTTTTCACCCTCAACATAATAATAATCTGTGGAGATAAGGGCCACACTGGAGGCTAAATCCGTTGGTGAAGGCTTGTTAGGAACTAGGACGTTCACCTGGTCTCAGCCAAGGGGCGTTTGTACGCGAGAAATGTGGAACTCACGCCTAAGCGACTCCACCTAGGGCCCATGGTGAGGAGGCGATCAGACCCAGCTGTGGACCATTCTGCACACCACTGGCCTGGATTTCCAGAAAATGTTCGAAAGCCCAGACGTCATGGGGTTTATTCTAGGAAAACAGAAAGATGTGATGGCCGAGTGGGGTGTATGGGCCTTGGCTGGGTGCTGGATCAGAAAAGAAAACCCTCACGGGTGTTTCTGGGACAGCTGTGAACACCTGTTAGATTTCTCCTCTGTTTCCCTGTGATCATGGTACCGTGGTTTATGTAGCAGACTGGTTTTGTTCTTAGAACATCCGTGCCAGAGTGCTTTGGGATGAAGGGTCTGCAGCTCTTCAAATGTCTCAGGGGAAGGGCCTCTTCCCCTAGGTCCCTGAGGTGGGCGGGCTCCCCCTTTCCCCACCCACCTAAGATGACTCCTCCCCACTGGCTTCCTTTCACCAGTCCCCCCAGCAACGTGTCCTGGAGCCCTGAGGCTGTAGATTAGCAGCACGTAGGGAGGAGGCCCTCTCCTGGCTCCAGATGTGAATCGATTCCCCTCTTCCTCGCTGGCTGAGGGCCTGGGGACCCAAGTTCAAGTCCTGGTGACTTTGGGGAAGTTACTGACCTCCTTGGCCTCCTCATCTTGGACCACAGGGTCTCCAAGGCTCCACCCACCCATGACCATTGGGTGAAAAAGCTATCCTTAAACTCAGATGTGCTCAGGGTGTTGGGAGCCAGGGAGGTTAATTTTGATGACCCTCTGTGGCAAGGGGGTAGAAAGGAAGGGCTGCCCCGTGGCTTCTCCCCTCCCTAAAGTGGCTCCTAATCCACCTCGAGGTGGGGGATGGGAGTCCCTACACCTCTGAGCCCTCCTCTGGGGGTGCTGGTGTCGGAGGGAGGGAGGGGCGGAAGTTGTCGCCAGGGGCAGCGCTGTGGCTGGGACCTGGGACCTGGGGCTGGGGCTCCTGGGAAAGCGCCCAGCCTCACCTCTCCTGCCCCTCCCCCACCAGGCCCACGAACGGCTGGAGGAGACGAAGCTGGAGGCTGTGGGTGACAACAACTTGGAGCTGGTGCAGGAGATCCTACGGGACCTGGCCCAGCTGGCCGAGCGGAGCAGCGCGGCCGCCGAGCTGGCCCGCATCCTCCAGGAGCCCCACTTCCAGGTTCCGGCTGCTGGGCTGGGCGGGTGGCAGGGGGAGGCGCCTGGGGGAGAAGGGACCACAGGGCGCGGTCCCATAGTCCCTTCTTCCCACCACCTCCCCAGTCCCTACTGGAGACGCACGACTCTGTGGCTTCCAAGACCTATGAGACCCCGCCCCCCAGCCCTGGCCTGGACCCCACGTTCAGCAGCCAGCCGGTGCCTCCGGACGCGGTGCGCATGGTGGGCATCCGCAAGACGGCTGGCGAGCATCTGGTGAGGGCAGTGGGCAGGGCCGGTGTGGGCGGGGCATTGGGAGGAGCCAGCAGGGGACCGGGAAGGGCAGGAGTGGGCTGAAGATGAAGGGGGGGGTGGTGTTAGCTTTGCCCAGGGAAGACCTCTGCCACTGTGCACACAGCCGCACAGGCACAGGCAAGCTGTATCAGGACCCTCTCCGGGACGCCCGCGTCCCTCTCCCATTAGCGTCCTCTGCAGGGTGGCGGAAGAGGGCTTTGTGGGACAGGGGTGGGTGGGGACAGACATGGAGGGGCTGACCCCGGACGGTGGGGCCTCACCCTGCGCGCCCCCATCCCCCAGGGCGTGACGTTCCGCGTGGAGGGCGGTGAGTTGGTGATCGCGCGCATTCTGCACGGGGGCATGGTGGCGCAGCAAGGGCTGCTGCACGTGGGCGACATCATCAAGGAAGTGAACGGGCAGCCGGTGGGCAGCGACCCCCGCGCGCTTCAGGAGCTCCTGCGCAGCGCCAGCGGCAGCGTCATCCTCAAGATCCTGCCCAGCTACCAGGAGCCGCATCTGCCCCGCCAGGTGTGCCCCTCCGCCCAGCCCCTCCCGGGCTCGAGCCCAAAGGGATGGCTGCGCCTTCCAGGCCTGGAGCTCCTCCCCTCAGCCTGTTCCGCTGGGGGCAAGGCGAGACAGGGAGCAGGACCGGAAGGCTGGGGGCTCCTGACCATGGCCTCCCACAGGCCTGTGTTCGCGCTCGGGCGCTCGTGCTTGGGCACTCGGCCACATTACGCATTGGCACCCGTGCGCATGTGCGAGGGACATGCATGTGTCCCCTGCCTGGGGCACTTGAGTGGCGTGGTGGTTGCGTGGACTTACGTGCCTGTGTGCGCGTGCACAGGGTGCGGTCGTCTGGTGTCCTGGACAGCTGCCTCCCGCTGGGTGGGTTGTGGGGGTCTGGCTGCTCAGCCCACCTGCCCTGTTGGCTCTCTCTGACCTCTGCTGGAGGCTCTCCTCCAAGGGGAGGGAGTGGGGAGAAGCAGGGGCCTGGGGATGGTCCTCCGCTCCTGGCCCCTACCCTGGCTCTCCTGAGGCCCGCGGTCTCCGCACCCTGCAGTCTGAGCGTCTTCGTTCTAAATGTGAACGGAGACAGAGGCAGGGGCATCACCCTCTTGCATCTTTGTGGTGGGGGTGGCGGGGAGTGGCCTGTGTGACCCCCTCTCCCCAACGGAGCTCACCTCCCTCGCCCCTCCCCCGACCCTTCGCCCATGCCTGGGCCCAGGTGTTTGTGAAATGCCACTTCGACTACGACCCGGTGCGAGACAGCCTGATCCCCTGCAAGGAAGCCGGCCTGCGCTTCAGTGCCGGGGACCTGCTGCAAATTGTGAACCAGGATGACGCCAACTGGTGGCAGGTGCGGTCCCTGCAGGTGTGGGGGAGGGGCTGCCAGGGAGGGGCCCCTCACTCAGGCAGGTCTTTGTCCCATGCCCGGGGCAGGCGTGCCACGTGGAAGGCGGCAGCGCTGGGCTCATCCCCAGCCAGCTGCTGGAGGAGAAGCGGAAAGCGTTCGTGAAGCGGGACCTGGAGCTGACACCAACCTCAGGTACGAGGTCCCCTCCCACCTCCCAGCCCTGATGGGGGGTCTGGGCGGCCCTGCCTGCCTCACTCACCCATCTCCCTGCGGCCAGGGACCCTGTGCGGCAGCCTTGCAGGAAAGAAAAAGAAGCGGATGATGTATTTGACCACTAAGAACGCAGGTGGGTCTTAGAGCCCACCCGCTCTGTTCCCCTCCCACCACTGCGACCTTGAGTGTGTCTCCCCATCCCCCGCCCCATGCTGCCAGCCTTGGCCCCCGGGGCCTGGACAGCCCCTCCCTGCTCCCCTGGTCCCGAGCCCTCTTAGCCTTGCCTCTGGGAGCACCCTGCAGCCTGGTGAGCGGGGCGTCCCCCATGTGCAGAGTTCGACCGCCACGAGCTGCTCATTTACGAGGAGGTGGCCCGCATGCCCCCTTTCCGCCGGAAGACGCTGGTGTTGATCGGGGCTCAGGGCGTGGGCCGGCGCAGCCTGAAGAACAAGCTCATCATGTGGGATCCGGATCGCTATGGTACCACCGTGCCCTGTGAGTGGGAGCTGGACCCTGCCGTGGGGACGGGGCCAGCACTGAATGGGGTACCTTGCTGGGTCCCAGGGCAGGTGGCGTCTTTGGGTGTGCGCCCTCTGTGGGTGGGTGGTGGAACTGCAGGCCTAGTAGGGGTTTTGCCCACTGTTGGCTCCTTGTGCTGGCCTGGCCTGGCCTTTTCTTTTCCCTTGTGTCATTTGCTATATGCAGTAAAAAAAAAAAAAAAGTGTGTGTCCAGCTGAGGACTGAGGTGAAACCAGGCAGTGTGCTTGCTTCGTGTGGCCTCATGGAAGAGAGAACCAGCAGGGGTGGTGAAGTCGCTGGCCAAGGGGGAAGCAGGAACCAGGAGCTGTGTGGCTTTGGGCTGCATATGGCCCTTCCTGGACCTCAGTCTTATCCGTACGGGACCACGGGGTCGGGCCAGATGCTCCCTGAAGGCCCTCCCTCTGTGGACGACTGGTGTCTGTGTGTGCCGTGGTCAGGTGTGAGTAGGTGCGGCAGTGCAGGCACGCTGAGGGTGTGGAACACTCATGGATCCTGTGCCCCGCCCATTCGGCCCTCCCTCCCTCCCTCCAGACACGTCCCGGAGGCCCAAGGACTCGGAGCGGGAAGGCCAGGGTTACAGCTTTGTGTCCCGGGGGGAGATGGAGGCTGACATCCGGGCCGGGCGCTACCTGGAGCACGGCGAGTACGAGGGCAACCTGTACGGCACGCGGATCGACTCCATCCGGGGTGTGGTTGCGGCCGGCAAGGTGTGCGTGCTGGACGTCAACCCCCAGGTACGGCCCCGCACGCTCCTCCCCAGCACCCAGGCCCCCTTCTCATGCTTTGCCCCCCCCCCCCCCCCCGGAGGAGGGGCCCCCTTGGACCCCCAAATGGTGGCGGGGACCCCGCCCCTCCAAAAGTCTCTTTACCAGCCTCCCTGTCGCCCTCCTCTGGCCTCCTGCAGTAGTGCCCCCGCCCGGCCATCCACCATGTTTGCCCAGGACCATGTCCCCTCACTGTCTCTCGCAGGTGCCTGCCCGTCGTCCCAGATTCCTTTCTCCCTTCTCTCCTGCAGGCTGTGAAGGTGCTGAGAACAGCTGAATTTGTCCCTTACGTGGTGTTCATTGAGGCCCCTGACTATGAGACCCTGCGGGCCATGAACCGGGCTGCGCTGGAGAGTGGAGTGTCCACCAAGCAGCTCACGGTGAGGGGCTCGGGGACACTGTCTGCCGGCTGCGGGGGTGGGGGCCTGGCTCAGCAGATGGAGCCACTGGTGAGGGAGGACTCGTGACCCCCTGCTTCGGGCAAGTGGAGCCTGGGGTCAGAGAGGATGGGCAGTGCCCTAGGGCTCAGCCAGTGGGGACACAGCTAGCTCCGGGTGCAGAGCCCACTGCCTCACCCACTCTGCAGGGACGGAGTACTGGCCAAAGTTCCAGAGGGTGCGGGGATGGGGGGAGATCTGTGGGGCAGAGGGGCTGGGGGGCGACAGCTGCCTACAGCTGGCAGCAGGCTGGATGGAGGAGGAATCAGCATGCAGGAGCCAGAGTGCCCCAGCAGCCCACTGCCCTGCTAGGGGCTCCAGGGCACCCCACTGGGGCTGGCTGTATGTAGCCTTCCCGCAGGGAGTAGGATTTGCAGAGCGCTTGGCTCAGGGGTCCCTCTGCTGGCCACACCGGGTACTGTCACTTCTGAGAGAGGCTCCCTGGTGGCTGGGGAGGGAGCTCTGGGTGCCCCCTCCCTGACAGCACAGGGCCGGCTTCCTGGAGCCCGGGGAATGCTCCTGGGAGCTCGTGCCTGGCTTATTTAATATCCATTCCCTTTCCTACCCAGCGTTGCCTGCTTCCACTGAGGCTGGGGTGAGGGGTTGCCTTGGGCACTGTGGGCTGGCTGCTCTGGTACAGGCCTCCCATGTTGCATAGGTAAGGGGCCTGCCTAGACTTTAAGAAGTCTGGCAGACCCGGGGAGCTGCTGGCTGACTCTTTGTACCTTAGTTTTCTGTAGAAAGTGAGATGGAATTAATCCTACCTTGCAGAGCCCTAGTGAGGGGCGTGGCACTTTCTAAAGCCAGGCCTGGGGGCCTGCAGGGAGGGACTCCTGCCTGGACTCTGGGGAGGAGGATGGAGCAGGCTATGGGAGTGCGTTGTGGACGCTGACCTGCTGTTGACCCCCGTGCCTGGCAGGAGGCGGACCTCAGGCGGACAGTGGAGGAGAGCAGCCGCATCCAGAGGGGCTACGGCCACTACTTTGACCTCAGCCTGGTCAACAGCAACCTGGAGAGGACCTTCCGGGAGCTGCAGGCTGCCATGGAGAAGCTGCGGACGGAGCCCCAGTGGGTGCCCGTCAGCTGGGTGTACTGAGCCTGTCCCGGGACCCGAACCCGTCCCCTGCTCCCCTGTGACTCCAGCCACCATCCTCAGCCCCCGTCCCCGGCTCCCTGGCTTGCCCTGGGTAGCAGCCACCAGCAAGCCCTGAGGTCTGGCTCCAGCAGAGAGGCGAGCACTGCCAGGGAGGTGGGTGTTCATGGGGCACCTCTGTGCCCAGGTGCTGCCCACTCCCGATGTCCATTGGCTACCAGATGTCCCTGTCCAAGGGCCCAGCCATGCCCAGGGTGTGTCAGAGTCTCCTCCGCCTGCTCAGTGCAGAGATGGGAAATCTGCTTTGGGACCACGTGGTCAGCAGGTGCACTGTCCCAGCCACCTCTCCCCAGGCACCTTTCCTCCTCCGGACTGGCCACAGCCCCCAGCTCCAGGGCCCCTGCACGTCTCACCCCTGCCTCCCGGTGGGTGGGGCTGGCCTTGGTCCTTGTTGGCCTGGGCTGGGGGAACGGGCGGGACTGCTCTCAGCTCGGGGAGGGGCAGGGACCAGGAGTGGATGTGGCCTTGTCCCTCCTTCCTCCACAGCGTCTCACTGCCTAAGTCTCCCCTCAAACTTCTCCAGCGTGTCCCTGCTGGGTCAGCCCCACCCCTGTGGGGGGGAGGCGAGGCTGGCGGGGCTGGGTGGGCTCAGCCAAGGGAGGGGTGGCTGGAGCCTGACCCTGTGACGGGGAGCCCTGGGCGCTCCGGGGTGGGCCGGGTCTGGTCGCCCTGCCCGTAACCTTTGTCCAGGCTCATCTTCCTGGTAAGGTCCAGGTGGCCCACTTGGGTCAGGGCTGCCCCAGTGGGAGGCCCTGGCCTGCCTGGCCATGGCCCCACACGCTGCATTGCTCTGTGGATCTGGCGCTGGCGTGTGTGTGCATGTGTGTGTACGTGTGTGTGTGTGTGTGTGTGTGGCTTGGTTGGGGGAGGCTTGTTTTCTTTTAGAGGCCCCTTTTTGGGGGTTCCCTGTCAGCCCCCGTTTCTTATGAGACCCTGCCCCAGATTCCTGAGCCTTGGTCCTCCTTGGGGTCTTCCTTTTCTGATTGCCCCCTCCCCGCCCTAAACGTCACCCCTCAGTCCCTGGGAGGGCAGTGTTGTGAAGTAGACCCCCTGTTAAGAGAAGTGCTGTCCTGGACGACCCCAGGCACCTGCTCCCCCTCCTCGTCTGTGCTCCTGCCCCAGGTGAGCCTGCCCTCGCCAGGGACCCCAGGGGACCCCTGCCCCGTGTCTGGTCAGTTGTCACCATGGTGTCAGCCAGAGCTGGCCCCTGAGCCACTGTGTGCCCGTGTCCTGGGGAGGGGAGGGAGAATGAACAGAATTATTTATTACAAATGTTAGAAATATATTTATTATATTAGAACCTCATTTTACATTTGCATAAGATATGCAAATGAGAGGTAAGGGTCCGCCTGCTCCCATCTCATTTGCATAGCTCTGCATACACTATGCAGTCATCTTTATACTCTTCTTTGCCCCCAAGTCAGCCTCTCTTTTGTGCCTGATTCAGCTCTCCCTGTCTCACCCTCATCCTCACCCTCAGCTTAAAAGGGCCTGGAGTGGGAAGAAGAGGGGTCATTTTCCTGCTGACTTGAGGCTGTGGGGTAATTGCTGGTCCCACCTCTCCTGCTGCAGCCACCCCTCCCTATTGGTTGGTGTGATTCTGGCAGCTTTGCTACTGGTGGTGCCCAAGGGGTGGGGCTGGGTCCCTCCTCTTGGGGCTGAGCCCATGCCAGGCCCGTCCTGGGTACCCATCAGGTGGGGGTGGAGTCCCCATCACCTGGAAGGCGCTGGGGCTGTGTGGACTGGAACAGGTGTGTGCCCACCGTGTTTGCTCCATGGCTGTCCTCCTCTCTCAGAGGGGACCTGAATTAGGGGGACTGCAGGAGAAGGAGGACCCTGCCCACTGCCCACGCCCACGCCCAGGCCAAGCCCCAGCCCCGTTGCCTCCCCTGCCCCTCTGGAGCCATCACTTTCTCGAGTTTTCTCTGTGTTTTTCTCTTTTCCTTTGATTAAATGAAAAAGCAAAGGCTTCTGGGCTCTGGGTTGCTTTTGTTTTAGATCTATGTATTTGAAAGATTTTCCATCCTCTGCTTCACTCTCAAATGACTGCAACATCCAAGGCTGGGCCAGGCGGAAGCCAGGAGCCAGGAACTCCATCCAGGTCTCCCACGTGGGTGGCAGGGGCCCAAGCACTTGGACCAGTGGCTGCTGCTTTTCCAGGCACATTAGCAGGGGGCTGGGTCGGAAACTGAGCAGCCAGGACTCAAATTGGCACTGTGGCACAATGCCATCCCCCTGACGTTGGGGTGGGGTGGATGGCTTTGGGAGAGGTTGAGAGCCTGGAAGCACAGCACAGATGGTTCTAGAATGCAGGTTGGAGCCACATGTCTTGTGTTCTGTGATGCCTGCCTCTCCCCATCCCACACTCTCCCCCCCCCCACCACCACCCAGGGACGAACTTGGGACCAATGTGGCAGGTGATCTGGAGGCAGCCGTGGGGTGCCCACCAGCCCCAGCTCACAGCTCTGGTGGGAACAGAGCATGGATATTAAATCTGCTGTTCTGAAGAGCCTCTGACCAGTCCCAGCACAAAGGGTGTTGTCCCGGGCAGCTTTTCTCCACTTGGGTCACAGCCTCCCACCGCCCTCTCTCAGATCTGGACAACCTTTATCCCATCCCCCGGGGCACCCCGGAAGCTCCGCATCTCTCAAGGAACCCAGGCAGCCCCTGCACCTGTGTGTCTGTCCTTTCCCTGGAGTTGTCAGCCCTGGCTGCACAGCACAGTCACCTGGGGAGTTGGGAACAATTGCCTGGAGCCCGTTCCAGGAGTCACTGCAGACAAGGCGGGGCGTATAGTAACCATGGCAACTGGGCACCTTTATTCCTTCCTTGCCGGGTCACACCATAGGCAGGCTGGGTGGCGCTTCCAGCAGTCTCTGTGTCTTGAACATGGTCATCTTCCACGTGTGGACTCTACAAATGTCACTGAGGAGGAAGGGCTTGGCCTTTCTGCCCACATCCCTTGGCCAGAACCACGTCAGGCGACCCCAGGTGACTGCATGGAGGGCTGGGAAATGTCTCCCTTCACAGCGGAAGCCGGCGCCCTCCAGACTCGTCCAGGCTGAGAGTGGGACCTGGGAAGCAGTTTGTTTAACACCTCCCTGAGTGGCTCTCGCATAGCCTAGGCTGCTGGCCACTGCTTGTCCACGTTGGCTGCACCCTTGTGTGGAGGAAATCAGTTTTCAGCCTCCGACTGGCATCAAGGTATTTTGGTAAACAAAGATGGTCGAATTCTGCTACCTGTTTGTTTTTGCTTTTTCAATCCTTTCCCCCAGCTGGCACGATGTTGTGTGGTTAGTACAACAGCAGGGACAAGTGAAGAGCTGTGTCCATTGTCACCTGGACAGCCATTGGGGGGCTGGAAATGGACCAGTGGGTGGCATTCCACGCCCCGCCCCACTGCTGCGTCCTTGTGACAGCAAATTATTTCTTAGCTGTCTGCTGTGCACAGACTTAATTACTTTTAGTTTGATCTGCAAGAAATCAAGAAATATGCTGCAAGCCTTGTAGTATAAAGAAACAAGTAGTTTATTCAAGTAGCAAGTTTTAAGAAGTAGGGCAGAGAGAGAGAGAGAGAGAAAGAAGGGGGGGGAGTCCCTAAGAGTAGGGACTCAACCCGGGAAGTTACCACTAGGCAATCTTCACACAGCACCGGAAAAGGATCCCTACTGAGAACGAAGCATCATCAGTAGACATCATGGGCATGTTCAACGTCCAGCATGACTGCGTGTTCCCCCGGGATGGAACAGCAGAGGCTTGCTCTGGCTCCCTCTTAAAGCCCCCAAGGACAAAGGGGGCTCATTGCCAAGATTTTAGGCAAGCAGTGCATCCTGTCTCGGATCTTGGCCAGAGAGCCGAGACATGAAGCATGCCCACCTGTTTATCAGAAACATTCCTTTATCCTCCTCCCTGGGAACTGGCCAGGCTCCCAAGGAGCAGGAGAAGGTCATCTGGCAGACAAGTTATGTGTTTACCCGTGCGAACCTAGATACAAGCCTCTCCATTCTAAAAATGTGTCCTTACATTCAGTCCTAGGGTTGTATCGAGGTGTAGGCATAATTAACATGGGCTCGTTACATCATAAGAATATAATACAAATTTTTCATACAAGTATGCATCAATACGTTTCAAGGATAAATTGAGATGTAGCTAGTGGAGAATCAGCCTCTTGGGCACCCCTGTCAGGGACATGAAAACATCACCGTTCCAATACAGCAACTCAAGCTGCTGCAGACAGCCTGAGAACGGGCTAGACAACCCTGTGGCAGGGAGACCTGAGGCACTGCTACCTGTTAAACAGACATGTTGAGGGGCAACCTCTTAGAGCACACTGAAGTTACTTAAAGGGAAGATGGTAAAGGAGCATAGATTAACAGAATGTTGCAATACATGACTTCATTGCTCTAAGTAGACTATAGCAAGATGGTCCTTGATTAGTATCTTTACATTGATCTAAAGAGTAATATTTTTATTATTTATATATATTACCCTTCTAAGTGTGGTTGTATAAACACAGTATCTTAAATAGAGTTTGCCATATTTTGGGGTGTTTTTTTTATTATTTGTCATTGAGCTTTTTCCCTTTGAGTTAGGATATATATAAGTTGTAAGATGTACACAGTCCAATTAACAAATGTGTTAACATTTTGTATTTCTCTAAAATTAGTGATTTGGGTTTTATTAAATATTTGCGACATTTTCTTTGATAAGACAACAAATTTTTCTGTGGATGGAACACTGTGGGTAACCATTTAGTCATAATAGTAGTAGCCTCTTATTATCTGTAATTGTTACATTTTTGTAGGTTTGTGGAATTTTAACTATTTGCAGAGTATTTTGATTTACAATTTTTTGTAAAGCAAACCAAGCATAATTTCCAAGCATTCCTATCAGTAATAGGGGTAGAGTTAGTACATAATACAAAACCAGAATGAGTAATATTGAATTCAGTGATAGAAGGATTACATTGTTTTACTGCAGTCCAGACATTTTGTCACCACAATTTCTCTTTTTACATAGTAATATAACTTTACAACAGGTAACATTTACTTCAGATGAAGTATTCAAATGCAGGGTGGGGGTGTCCAGTGTACACTCATTTACATTTTTTACTCCCAGTGTAAGTAGTTACATTTTATCCAGTTACTGTCAAATTTATCATGTAACATGGCTGATTAGTAGGACAGGAGAAGGTATCTTCAGGCGAGATCTTGTGTGATTGTTCCATCCCATCTGCGGGTAACGGTAGTCCTGGTGCCACAGAACTGCAGGGGAGTTCCAGGAGTCCAAGCACAAGCGGTCCAAGAAGAGAATAGAAACAGAAAGGATCTGATTTCAAAGGAATAAATGATTAGTAGGGATAACTTTAGGTTTTTCTTGACCAAGAAATATTGCCATCACAGTGTTATTTACTCCCTGTGTAATCACTTTACCCAGTCTGGGAATGTCCTTGTGGTGTTTCTTTACCCAAACCTTGGATCCAGCTATTATCTCAGCAAACCCGAACCCACCAGCACGGGTAACTATTGATGGAGGTTTTTCTAATAAGACCCATTTCTTGGTGCTGGCACATGGAATTAGCAATATTTGAGCAATTTTGGTCTGGGCAGGAAAGTGTAAGTTTTCCCTTCCAAGATTATAAAGTGTAATTTGAATTTTCCCCCTGTAATCTGTGTCAGTTATACTGGCCATTATCTGAATTTCCTTTAGTGTCAAACTGGAATGGGGTGCAGTTTGACCATAATATCCTAGGGGAATCTGTATGTCTATTTTTGTTTCTACCTTTACAATAGCTCCTGGATCTATCCATACTTCCTTAAGGTTGTATAAATCATATTTGGCTGAGTTAATGGTGGCAGCATAGGGCATTTGTGCATCCTTGTGAGTTTTTTACATTTTACATCCTGGAAGGTATAAAATTTCCCAATTTGTAAATTAGGTGTCATCATTCTCCTTAAAGGAGTACTCTCCACCCCCGACATTCTGTTATTTAACTGTTGTGGGGCTGTAAGTAAGTTGTCCTTCCGATTCTTATATGAATTGTCCCCTAGCTTTCTTACCTTTTCTTTTAATAATTTATTTATTTTTTCAATAAGGCCAGCTGCCTGGGGGTAATATGGTACATACTCTCCTTTACAATGGGTTTTATTGTTACTTTGGATTTGCAAAGGCACCCTATAATATAAGGCCACAATATCTAAAGTCCTAATGGTATTTTTCTAGGTGGCCTTCCAGGATGCACAGGCAACCAGTACACCAGAGAATGTATCCACACATGTACATATGTGTTGACATCCGTGTGAAAACGGAAGAGGGCCAATGTAATCCATCTGCCAAATTTGTGCAGGGGCCTGTCCTCTGTGTAATGCTCCAGTAACTATTCAGGGCAGGCCCCTCTCTTTATCTAACTGACAGGTTTTGCATTGATCTTGGATTTTTTTTTTAATGCTGATAAGGGTACATGTATGTCTTGGTCCTGTGCCCACCTGTGCGTAGCGGAAGGTCCTGAATGTCCTGTTTTTAAGTGAATCCATTTTGCTAATCCCTTGTCAGAGGGACTGTCACGGAACACCTCTGCCACAGTAGCCAATTGATCCACGTCCACCTTGTACTTACGTTCCGTAGAATTCACCGTACTGTGAGCATCTACATGGAAGACAGTAACATCAGTACATTGAATCAATTTCCATTTTTCCCATAGTTTATCCCCCCATAGGTGTCCGCCATGAATTTGCCAATTATCCTTTTTTTATTTAGTGATCCAGGTAGTTAGACTATTGCTATGGCCCATGAATCAGTAAAAAGGTGACACTCCCTTCCTTCCTCATGTTTTAGAGCCTGGTATATGGCTTGTAATTCAGCAAACTGACTGCTAAGGTTTTTTTTTTCCCTTGGGACTCTAATACCATGGTGGTGTTTGCGTTATATGCCACAGCTTTCTAATATCTTTGGTGCCGTATATGTTTTGCTGACCCATCTGTGAACCACACATGCTTTTAATAAAAACTCAGCTGTTTTTAAACAATTAGAATTTAACAGAGACATCAAGAGAACATAATAGAGTACTTTAACTCATTGCTTCAACAGAGGATCAGATTCTGATTTTATGTTAAAGAAAATGGACTAATAGTTTTGTAACCAAAAATTTCTTTTTCCCATAACATTTTGTGACTTTCTCACACCTTCTGTAACTTGCTCAAACCTTTCTTTTTTTTTTTCCATTCCATTAAGAGTAAACTAGCCATTAAGATAAACAATTTTTACAATCCATGTCCTTCCTTTATTTAAAAACCTCTTTCCTTTTAACTTTCCTTATCAAGAACACGCTTTTATACTTGTGACCTTTTACCATTTGTTGACCTTTTGATTTACAAGCTTATTAAGAATACACAGGCCTATGGTAAACTGAACGGTTTGAGAGGGCCCCCTTTTTTGGTAAATTTATTTCCAATCCTTGAGACCTTAAAAAAAATAAAAGAAAGATCACTTCTAATTGTTGTACTTTTTCCTGGGTGGTTGCTTGTATTAAAATATCATCTATATAGTGAGTAATCAAAATGTCGGGGGGAGCCTCAAGTTCATCTAAATGTTTAGCAAGTATTCTGCGGCATATTGTGGGACTATGTTTGTACGCTTAAGGCAGTCTTGTAAGGGTATATTGTCTTCCTTGCCGGGTAAAAGCAAATTGTTCCCGCCTCCCCCCACATACAGGTATTGTGAAAAAGGCATTAGCCACACCAATAACTGCATACCAAGTACCAGAATGTGTTTGGATTTTTTTTTATTAAAGTGATGGTATCTGGGACTGCAGTAGTCAATGGGGCAGTAACTTTGTTCAATTTCCTGTAATCCACATTCTCCAGGTTTCATCTGATTTCTTAACAGGCCGAATTGGATTATTCCTTTTAGTGGTTATGGGAATCATCGCTCCAGCATTAACATAATTTTTTACTGTTTTAGATATTTCCTCATGTCCACCTGGAATTCTGTATTGTTTACACTGAATAGCCTTAGTTGGCTCTGGCAGCAGGTACAAGAGCTTGATAGAATTTTCCTACCACTACATAGCAGTTTGACGGCAAAGGGCAGCATTTTCTTTAATCCAATTTACATTTATCCTGTACTGCTTTTTCTAATTGCTTGCACATGCATCAGTATGCAGATAACAAAATCCATCCTCACTTCCCCAAAGCCTATAGTTCATTCCCCTTTTCTACCGGCACCAATTACAAAACCTCAATAACTTGTGGAGGCTATGCACTCCATAACTTGCCATCCCTCCTTTTCACTCAATCCTGAGCAGTTCGCCAAAGAGGCGAACTGAGGGTCTTCCCCACCAGGAACATCACAGGTTACACATGCAACTTCAGTTTTCTTATTAAAGAAAGGCATTGCTTTGCATACTTGGGGATCCTGCCGACTACACCAATTTGTGACAGCAAATTATTTTTTAGTTGTCTGCTGTGAACAGACTTAGTTACTTTTAGTTTGATCTGCAAGAAATACTCTGCAAGCCTTGTAGTATAAAGAAACAAGTAGTTTATTTAAGTAGCAAAGTTTAAGAAGTAGGGCAGAGAGAGAGAGAGAGAAAGAAGGGGGGGGAGTCCCTAAGAGTAGGGACTCAACCTGGGAAGTTACCACTAGGCAGTCTTCACACAGCACCGGAAAAGGATCCCTACTGAGAACGAAGCATCATCAGTAGTCATCACGGGCACGTTCAACGTCCAGCATGACTGCGTGTTCCCCCGGGATGGAACAGCAGCAGCAGAGGCTTGCTCTGGCTCCCTCTTAAAGCCCCCAAGGACAAAGGGGGCTCATTGCCAAGATTTTAGGCAAGCAGTGCATCCCGTCTCGGATCTTGGCCAGAGAGCCGAGACACGAAGCATGCCCACCTGTTTATCAGAAACATTCCTTTATCCTCCTCCCTGGGAACTGGCCAGGCTCCCAAGGAGCAGGAGAAGGTCATCTGGCAAACAAGTTACGTGTTTACCCGAGCCGAACCTAGATACAAGCCTCTCCATCCTAAAACTTTGTCCTTACAGTCCTAGAGCGGGGAGGTGGGGAGGACTAGATTTAGGGGCGGTGCGTGGTGAAGAAGGCACTTACAGGAACGGGAACAGTGGGCGAATCAGAGGGCACCCCTTCCATGCTGCGGGAGAAAGAACGACACAGTGAACAAAACCAGACAAAACCCAACCAGTTTCAAAAAGAGAGAGCAAAGGGCCGCCCATGTCTAGTCTGCAGCCGTCCCAGCCCACGCGGTCTCTTTAAGATGGGCAGGTGGGGAAGGGAGGCCTCCAGGTCTCCCCTTTGCCCATTCGTACTTGATGTCAGCCTATGCGAGGGTTGATGGCAGTGGACCGTTACTGTGGTGATATTTACCGCCCTAATCTGGCAGACTGAGCAGTTCCAACACTTGGATACCCCAATTTTTCTTGAAGTTTTACCTCTCAGCAAAAGCCCCCAGACCCAGGCCAGGCTCGTGACCTGGTGGCTAAGGTGCGGACCAGGACAACCCCATCCCACATCTGAGTCCCTGGCTTTCATTCCCAGCTCCGGCTCCTGACCCCAGCTTCCTCTCGTGCACCTTGGGAGGTGACAAGGGTCAGTGATGGCCCACGTGCTCGCATCTCGCCCACCCACATGGGAGACCTGGCTGGGGTTCTGGCCTCCCAGCTTTGGCCTGGCCCAGCCCTGGCTGTGGTGGGCATTGGGGAATGAACCAGTCAGTGGTAACTCCCTGTCTCTTTGCCTCTCAAATAAATTAAAACAAACACCCTCCCGAAATCCAAAGTCATTTATATGAAATGAAGGTATTAATATAAAAACAAAAGCCCCCCAGGTTGGAAATCCTTGTTCTCAGAATAGGTGAGCAGTGTTAGATTCTTGCGTTTAAGAGGATTGAATAAGGGAAAGGGGGCGGGGCTGGGGGCAGGGGCAGCACAGAGGGAGAGATCCAGTGCTTCCACCCACTGGGTCACTCCCTAAATGCCCACAACAGCTGGGACTGGGCTAGTCTGAAGCCAGGAGCCTGGAAATCCACTGGGTCTCCCACATGGGTGTTTGTTTGGGACTTAACTGCTCGGGCCACCACCTGCTGCCTCTTGGGCACATTAGCAGGAAACTGGATCAGAGACAGAGGCAGGACTCAATCCCAGGCACTCGAATATGGGGCTTGGCCATCCAGGAGGTGGCTTAATCCATTGCAGTACAGTGCTCACCCCAGCTCACACAGAGGATTGCAGGTCTCCTGGTGTACAGATACAAAGCAAAGCAACGTGGGGGATTGGTCAGGGAGCAGTGTTTGTCCCCTGCCTGTGAGGACCTGGCTGGGCTGCTGTGGGGGGAGGAGCCAGGAGAACGTCTGACAAATCCACGGGAGTTTAGGGTGCTGGTGCCAGCCCTAGATGTCACTTTACTCAACGGGGCCACTCTCTGCCCGCGGGCAAGCACTGGGGGCGGCATGGCTGAGCTGAGGACCTCCGGGTCCCCAGGAAGCTCTGGCTGGAGGAGGTGACGGGCAGGGAGCAGTGTGGAGTGGGCGTGGGCGTCCTCCCCTCCCAGGGCGGCGCGGGGCACAGCAAGACCACGTGCAACATGTCCTCCCTCCCTTCCTCCCTTCCCAATATGTGGGCGCCCCGAGTGGCTGGACCCTGGGCAGGATCCTCCTGCACTCTGCCCCGGGGAAGGTATGTGGGGCACTGGCCCCCTCCCGGGTCTGTGGACACTGGTGGCCACCTTTGCTGAGGCCCCTCCAATTCACTGGCCTCCCAGACCCTGGAGCTGTCACCGCCGGGCCCCTCCTCCAGCCACGCCCACAGGGGCAGGTGCAGAGGCTGCTGCAGGCACCCCAGAAACACTGATCCACCGGCCCCCAGGGGTGAGGGAGGACTGTCACTCAGAGAGTTTAGCAACACTTGTCAGTGCACTTCGGCATGAGCAAGTCCCTCTTTTTTTTTTTTTTTAAAGATTTATTTATTATTTGAAAAGCAGAGTTACAGAGGTGCATAGGCAGAGAGAGAGAGAGAGAGTCTTCCATCCATTGGTTCACTCCCCAAATGGAGTGAGCTGGAGCTGGGCTGATCCGAAGCCATCTCCAAAGACAGATGAAGCCCTGGGCAAAGATTCGCCACACTAGTATTATCAAAGCAACAACAGCAAGAGTGAAAGACCTCGTGAGAGAGAATCGGTTAAATAAGCGGAGGCGCACTGATGGGGCGGACGATTGCACAGCTGAGGAATCATTTTATTTACAAAGCGTTTGCCAAAGCTTGGAGAAATGCTTACGGTGTAAGAACTAAGGGGGACAAGCAGGATACAGAGTGTATCTACATGACAATCACTCCTTAGAAAGACGCCAGGGAGTTTGTGGAGGGACAAAAACAGGAAGAAAGTGCAATGCAGAGGTCCTGACCGGGCTGGCGCGCACATGGGAGGTCATTTTTTCTTCCTTTTTTTTTTTTTTTTTGTCCTCATTTGTCTAAGTTCTGTATACTCAAGGACACCGCCACAGTCACCATTTCACTTTTTAACAAAAATTAAAAAAATAGTTCTGCTGCTCTCACTCCCCTGTTCCCCCCTCCTCTCCCTGGGGGCCAGACGCAAGGTGAGCTTCCAGCTGCTGCGGGTTCCAGTCCCAGCGCTTTCTGGACAAGGAAGGGGCCAGGAATGCAGGGCCGGTGTGGGCGGCATGGACAGGCAGCTGCTTCTGGCGGCCCTGGGCCCACGCCTTCCAGTGTGCACCTGACTCTGGGCCTGGGTGGGCCCCACGGACCTGCATCTGGGTGGTAGGGTTGTGAGCAGAGCAGTCCCTGTGGGGAGCTGCTTGAGACCTGGGGAGGACCTGGGGAGGTTCACGTGAGAGCCCTGGGCTCAGTGCTGGAGATGGTCTGGGTGGGTCTTTCCGGGGCCCAGGAGTGAGCTTTGTGAGTAGCTTTCTGAAGAGCTGCATGCACGTGGCTCACTAGGCAGACTCTGGGCTGGGCTAGGCAGACTCTGGGCTGGGCTCAGCGGGTTTGGCAGACTTTGGTCTGCTGGGAGGGAGGAGGGAGTGGGCTCTGGAGCGGAGTGAGCTGGGTCCTAAGGGTTTCCTGGAGCAACGACAGACTTGCTGAGCCCCGCCTGTGTGCCCGGAACATAGCGGGGAGGGCTCTGTCTCCCCATGGTGCTGTGGGCCCCCCCATGGTGGCTCCAGGGCTGCAATCGCAGGAGGACAGCTGGGAGGGTGGGCAGAGCCCTGGAGTCCGGGTAGCTGGCCTCCGAGCTGGTGGCGGTGCCCATCTAGCCGCTCACTTCACGGCCACTTGGCCACTGCCAGCCGGGCCAGGAGGGCGTCCTGCAGCTAGCCCGAGATGAACTTGGAGAGGGCCAGCTCCTCCTCAGACTTCCGGAGGGTGGGTGCTGGGATCATGTGCCCCTCGGGGGCCTGGGAAGGGGCTGTCTCTTCCTCCGGAGCCTGCAGAGATAACAGTGGGGGTGAACAGCAGAGCCTGGCTCGAGAGGACCCCGGGGAACTGCTGTGTCCCCCACCTCTGCCCACCTGCAGTGGCTGAAGAGCTCACAGCTTCTCCCCAGCACCCCAAGGCTTTGACTCCTGCCTCTCCCTCCCCGGGAGATCCCGCTCTCGCTCGCGCTCTCTCTCTCTCACACACACATACACACACACACACACACACACACACACGCTAACTCTCCCCCAGTTGGGGAGATCCCGCCAGCCCAGAGCGCTTTAAGCCATCAGTTCCTGAGAGCCCAAGAAGTCTTGCCAGGGCCAGGGTGCGGATGCGAGGCACGAGGAGCGAGCCCTCCCCCACTTCCCTGCATTGTCAGCTGCAGGGAGCGGTCAGGACAGACACTGGGGTGAGAACAACCTGTCCCTGGCTGCCAGGTGGAGGTGGGAGAGGAGCAGGGAGCCCTGGGAGGGGAGCTTGGCAGAGAGGAGGGGCGCGACCCTCAGCTCCAAGGCAGAAGCTCAGTTTTCCTCTGCTGCGAAATGGGAATAAAAGCTTTGCCCTGCGGTTGTAATCAATGCTCCCGGTGGCGTCCTGCCACTCAGCAGCGAGCACTTCTGGGAGGATGAATCTGTTCTCGCTTTAAAGCGGGCCACGCGAGCTCTTGGTGATGGACCCGGGGACGGAGGGACACCTCAAAGAGCCACGAAACAACAACAACAACAACAAAAGAGGGAAAACGCTGGGAAGACCAACAGTCAGAGCAACCCCTCGTCCATCAGGCTGCAGCCCAGGGAGGGGCGGTGGGCCTGGCTGCTCCCCAGGGGTCTCAGGTCAGGCCCCTCCATCCAAGGCCCCCAGCCTCGAGCAGCGAATTCTATGGTCAGACGGGCACTGAAGCCAGAGCACGCCGGCCACTCTGAGCCCCTGCAGGGGCTCCATCTCAGTCCCTCCCAGCTAGGACCGACATCTCCGGGCTGGAGCGGCTGGGCTGGGACTCAGCCCAGGGCCCCCTGCCGCGCTGCCGGCCTAGCCGGGCCTTCTCGAACTTCTGCGGCTCAGCACCCGCTGTCTTCCAGCCGGGCCCCACTTGCGTGGACGCCTGGCTGCTGCGGTGTGGGCAGGGGTGGATGTCTGAGCCACCTCGTAGGAAGTGCATCTCTTACTTGTAGCTCTGAGATTTGGGCAGAACTCAGTCCCTGCTGCCACAGGCCACTTGTGGCTGCCGTGGTGGCACCCGCTCCAGGGAACTGAGTTTGAGGAAAGACCCTGGTGGGGCAGAGACCAAAGCACGCACGAGCAGCACGCCCCGGATTGGGTCCCTGGGGCAGGCAGCAGGCACCCTCTCGAAGCCTCTGCTTCTTCATCTGTGAAATGGGGGCGATTCTGCCGGTCACTTGCTGAGTACCCCCAGGGCAGAGGAGCTCGGCGTGACCCCCAGGGCTTCCTCTGCACTCTCACTGCCCCTGGGGTGTTTTTGCAGGACAAGGAAGGCACCCCCAGACATGAACACAAGCAAAGCAAACCCCAACGCCCAGCGGCTCCACCTTCAGACCCCATTCAAAACCACGAAGAAGTCAGAGGGGAAACAGGGAAAGAACAGATGCTGGCCTGCGCCCCATCCTGGCCCCTCCCAGGTCTGCAAGGCCAGGGCCAGGTGCGGCCGGCAGCAGCGCAGGGGGACGTGGCTGGGGCAGGCACACAGGTGTCCTCGCGGCCTCCAGCCCCTCTTCCCAGGTTGGGCACGGTGGCCGCTGGAAGTCCCATGCCCTGTGTCCGTGACATTTCCCTCACTCCCCTCTGCCGCCCTTGGCCTTGTTGCCTTCCTGAGACAGCGGCAGCTGCTTCCTTGGCCAGGCAGAGCCCACTCCCAGCCCGGCCCTCCCTGGGGATCGGTCCTTTGTCCTCACTGGCGCCAGGAAAGAAGGTGATGCAGGGCCCCTTTCCTGCCCCGTGTTCGAGGGACTCAGAGTGGGGGTGGCCCGGGGCAACAGCTGGGGGCACGGAGACTGGGTGGGCGTGCGGGGTGAGGTCGGCAGGCTGGTTCCCGGCCCTCCGTTCCGTAGCCCCCATCCCTCCGGGGGTGCAGGCCGGGGTGGCCGTGGTCTCTGCTTGCCACGGGCTGCAGAGGGCTGCGGAGCAGGCAGTCTCCGGGCAGGGTCCCCTCTCCAGGAAGGTGGGACCCCTGCTCCTTCTGCTCCCTGATTCCCTGAGTGTCACCCTCAGCCTGGGTCCCTGGGCAGCCACCGGGTCAGAGCCAAGGAAATCCCAGAGAAAACATTCTGGAGAGAAGAGGGCCGGGGTCAGAAGGGCTGGGTCCTGCTCTCCATCTTGGCCGCCGCCTGCTGTGTGGCCTTGGGCAAGACCTTCTCCCTCTCTGGGCCTCCGTTTAGTCTCTGGTGAAAGCACAGGACAGAGTCTGGTGCGCTGTCCAAGTTCCCGGTCCCCACCCTGGAGGGTTCAGCTGGGACCAGGCAGGGAGGGGGTGCCCCTGTGACAGCTCCCCGAGTCCCCGGTCTGAGCTCCCCTGCATCCGGGGCCCAGATGCTTTGCTTCTGCAGAGGGGGAGGGAAGAGGGAACCAGGCCTGGGTAAGAGGCACCCCCAGGCTCCCTGTGCCCACCTTGCCTGGCACCTGGTGGGCAGCCAGGGGTGAGGACAGGCGCTCTGCCCGCCGCACACCCGGGGGCGGCGGTGATGCCGGGCTCACAGCCTGCTGGGAGGTGGGTGGCGAGGCACAGAGGACCAATCAGGAGGGCGTAGAGGCAGGGCCCAGGAGCCCAGATCCGCAGGCTCTGGGGATTGGCGCTGGGTCCTTACCAAGGCCGAGAGGCAGACCTGAGTCCCCTTGCTCTTCTCCGTCTCTGCGGCCGGCTGAGCTGAAAGAGACCCAGTGGGAGCAGCTTGAAGCCAGGAGTGGCCTGCGGCTGCTCCCGGGAAGATAGGTGGGCCCCTGCTTGTACCTGGGAGCAGGGGCTCCTGGGTGGGAGCTGGCGGGCCGCCCCTTCCAGCCCAGCCCCTTGGGAATGACCGGCCGTGGGAGGGCAGGAGAGGGGCTGGGGCAACGAGTCTGCAAGCTGAGGCCACTGCTTCCCAAGCCCACACGGTGCCCTGGAAATTTCCTTCAAATGCAGAATCGGAGAGAACAGGTTGGGGCTGGGGCCTGAGAATCTGCATTTCTGAAGGCTCTGGGCGATGCCACTGCTGCAAGGTGCCCAGTGGCTGTGAGGCTGGGACGGGGACTGTGTTCTCCCTGCGTGCCCCCTCCGGGACTTCTCTGGGCAGCCTGGGGATGAGGGCAAAGCCGACATTCTTTCCTGGGGGTCACATGGGGAGGAGTCGGGAAGCAGGCCCAGCATTCCTCCTCGGCCACGCTCCCTGGTGACCTGGCAGCCATCGTCCGGCCTCCACCACCTGCTCGCTGTGCAAACAGAGGGCAGGCTGCCTCAGTTTCCTCCAGGGCCAAGGAGATAAGCAACCACGTGCCTGGCACATGGTGGCTCGGATTCCCAGAGCTGCAGGTGAGACTTGTAATCCGCACCGTTCGGTCCAGCAGGGGAGCCCCGGGCACACGTGGCTGTCAGGCAGGGAAATGGCACCGCTCACACTGCAGGGGGCACTGAGACAGACATGGACCCTGCGCCCCTCGTATTTTCCTGCTGGCTCCTGGCCGCCGTGATGTTTTGGTCACACGAACTTCTCTGCTCTCTTCATGCGGCTACTCAAGTCTGCTCCTTTACCTATCAGTCTTGCATTCTCTTTCTGCTCAACAGATATCTGGTGTGGGGAAACCGAGGCTCGCGGCAACTGGGTGACTCGCCCGAGGTCACACAGCTCGAGAGGGGGTGGAGCTGGGATCGACCCTGGGGCAGGTGCAGGGCTGTGATGTCCACCCCATTGGAGTTCAAGTGCTCAGGCTTGCAGCCCCCACACGAGGATGCTGGGCGTGGAGTTGTGGGGCCGACAGGAACACCTGGGAGGAAGCTGGGAGCCCCGCATCCTCCCGCTTCCCTTTGGCGCTTCGTGTCAATCCTCAGAAGTAGGCGGGCCCAATGCCCATCTCTCAGAAGGACACACTGAAGCCTACACTGTCTTTCCAGGGTTGTGGGCTGGGGAGGGGCTGCAGGTCTCAGTGAGCCTCCCCCACCCTCGCTCACCTTCCTTTCTCCATGGCAGCAGGTGGCTGCCCACGGTGATGAGGCCCGCGGCCACCAGCAGGGTCAGCAGCACCAGGAAGGGGGCCAACATGCGGACCGTCGGGATGGACACCCTGGGGAAGACAGGGCGGGGGCGGCACTTGTCACCAGAGGAGCCAGTCTGTGCTGTTTTGGGTTCTGGGCAGGGGCTGAGACAGCCACCCCCACCCCTCGTGGAATCCAGCCCCGCTGGGGGAGCACTTACTGTCCCTGCACTTGCCCTCCTGTTCCTTTTTTTCTTTTCTTTTCTTTTTTTTTTTTTTGACAGGCAGAGTGGACAGTGAGAGAGAGACACAGAGAGAAAGGTCCTCCTTTTGCCGTTGGTTCACCCTCCAATGGCCGCTGTGGCTGGCATGCTGCAGCTGGTGCATCACGCTGACCCGAAGCCAGGAGCCAGGTGCTTCCTCCTGGTCTCCCATGCGGGTGCAGGGCCCAAGCACTTGGGCCATCCTCCACTGCTGCCCGGGACACAGCAGAGAGCTGGACAGGAAGAGGAGTGACCAGGACAGAATCCAGTGCCCCGACCGGGACTAGAACCCAGGGTGCCAGCGCCACAGGTGGAGGATTAGCCAAGTGAGCCGTGGCGCCGGCCAGCCCTCACTGTTCTATGAGCTCAGACCCTGGGTGGAAATCCCGGCTCCACTGCGTTCTTCATGGGTGGCCTGGGGCGAGTGACCTAACCTCCCAGGACATCCATTTCCCGCCATGGTGAGAACAAGTAACGTTCTTAGCCCAGTGCCTGATGCCACTGGGGGTGTGAGCGGCGGGGGTGTGAGCCGCTGGCTTCCGGGAGCAGGGTCACTGGAGGGCGAGTGGCCCCAGATTTCCCCTGGGAGAAACTGATGCCCAAAGAGACTGAGCAATTCTGGCAGAGTGCGCCCTGGGACACGGTGGCCTGGATCCAGCTGGTGTCCCCGGCACCACTACTGCCACCAATGACGACAACCTGCTGTGAGTCTCCCCGGGTGGGTCCCCTGTCTCTCCCGAGAGATCACCGGGCTCCAGGGGCCAGGCTGTCTGGTCAGCCCATGGTTAAGTGGCCGTCTGGTGAGGGCGGTCCCCATGGCCAAGCCCAGGAGACGCTTCCATCTGGGTGGGGGCCCCCCAGCAGTCACCTGGATGGCAGGAGCCAAGTGCAGTCAGGACCCCCGAGATGCCGGCCTTCGGGCTAGGACTGCAGTTGGGTAAGGAAAATGACTTTTCTCGGATTCCCTATTTTTATGCACAACACAGGGCTCAGTGCAAAGTATACAGGCGAAAGCTACTGACCCCAGGGGCTGAGCCGGAGGCTGGGGCAGGGGGTGAGGTGGTGGGCCCCTCACCCAGGGCAGGCCTGCGTGTCCAGGCTCCCGCAGCGCGGGTCATGCACTGCTCACAGGCTCCTGCAGGGGGCGGAAAGGAGCTTGGACCTGCCTTCTGGACCACAGGCTGGGACCAGGCCAAGAGGCTGTGTCCTGGGGCTCACCTGAGCTGGGAGCTGCCGCTGCTGGGGGCAGGCATGGCGTCCTCTGCAGAAGGGGCGTGCAGCTGCACAGTTGGGGAGGAGCCCCTGGCGGGAGCAGCGGTCCCTGCGGGCGGAGAGGTTCCTGGGTACGGGGCGGCTGCTGTGTGCCCGCACGGGGTGGTCCCTGCCATCGGAGGTGCTTTGGCCCCTGTGTTCCCCTGCTTGGCTGTAGTGAGTGTTGGGTGGAGACCAGCAGAAGCTACAAGTTTAAAAGCAACGCCTCAGCACCTTCCCCGACCTGACCCCAGCACCCCAGACCTCGGACCCTGTCCCCTGAGCCCTGGGCTTCCGGCTTTTCAGACATCTGCAGCTAAAGGACGGCTGGGAGCCTCTGCACGGACCCTGCTGTGGCCGTTTTAATCCAGCAGCCGTGAATCGGGCAGGCCCCACGCCGGTGCAGTCTCCGGCCTCTTTTTGCACCCCCAGGCACAGCTCCACCCCCACTTCCACAACCCAGTCCAGTGTCTGCCTTCCTGCCCTCCCGCTATGGTCCTGGCCAGTCGTCCCCATCCCCTGCCCCCTACCCCATCCTTAACACTCCCATGCCCGTCAGCTCTTCACCTCCTGCAAGAGCAGGGCAGGGTGTGGGCAGAGGGCAGAGGGCAGAGGTCAAGGCCCAGGGCTCTCCCCCCAGAGCCTGGACGGAGTAGAGAGCGCATGAGCTTTGGGGCCAGGCTGTGACTGCTTCCTCGCTCTGCTGTTCCCCGTGTGGCCTTGAGTGGGCACCTGACCCCGTCGAGCCTGCGTTCTTCGGCTGAGCACTCCAGCCCCCAGCGTGTGGGGCACCCGGGTGGCATCCAGCAGGCACTGGCCACAGGCTTTTTTGTTTTTTCCTATGGAGATGGAGGGGGACAGAAAACCATCCACTCACTCGGATCTGGGGGTTGGGTTGGCCAAGCTTTTGCCTTGGGCTGCAGGCTCCAGGTAACCAGAGGCTGGGAGGAGGCAGTGGGGGAGAGAGGACAGCAGGGCCCTAGAGGAGAGGGAAAGGCTGCTTTCAGCCGAGGCCCGGTCCCCAGTTGTGTCTGAGCTGCGGGTCCTGCCGTGGGAGCAGCTCAGCTCCCGCCCTCCACCCGCCCTGCCCTTGGCACGGAGCCCTGCCCTCTTCTCACCTCACCCAATCAGGAATCACCACTGGCCCAGCCCTCTGCCTCCCGCTGGGCTCAGACCTTCAGCCTCTCTGCCTCCAGCCAGCTTCCTCCCTGCCACTCTTCATACCCAAGCCAGTTTGGTCTTAAAAATAATCGGGGACCAGCGTTGTGGTGTAGCGGGTAAAGCCGCCGCCTAGCAGTGCCCACATCCCATATGGGTGCTGGTTCAAGTCCTGGCTGCTCCACTTCCACCCAGCTCCCTGCTAATGTGCCTGGGAAAGCAGCTCAGGATGGCCCAAGTGCCTGGGCACCTGCACCCACGTGAGAGACCCGGATGAAGTTCCTGACTTCAGCCTGGCCTAGCCACAACCATCCCAGCCATTCGGGAAATGAACCAGTGCATGGAAAATCTCTGTCTCTGCCTGTCTCTGTCACTCTGAGTTTCCAATAAATAAAATAAATCTAAAAAAAAAATACCCTATATGGGATCCCATCACTCTGGACTCCCCGAAACCTGCAGGCTGAAGTCCAAACTTACAGCACGCTATTCAATGTCATTGTCTTTAAAGATCTATTTTATTTATTTGAAAGGCAGAGTTACTGAGAGACAGAGAGATCTTCCATCTGATGGTTCATTCTCCAAATGACTGCAATGGCTGGGACTGAGCCAGGCCGAAGCCAGGAGCCAGGAGCTTCATCCGGGTCTCCCACGCGGGTGCAGGGGCTCAAGCACTCGGGCCATCTTTCACAATTGCATTAGCAGGAGCTGGATGATAAATGGACTTGAACTGGTGCCCATGTGGGACGGTGGCGTTGCAGGCGGCGGCTTGACCCGCTGCCCCAGAGTGCCGGCCCCTGCTGAGGGCCTTTGACACTCGGACTTCATCCGGGTCAGCTTTGCCTCTTCTCAAGTGGTGCTGGAGCTGCACCCAGCTGCCCTTTGTCCCCTCCCGCCCCCTCCCCACCCCTGCTGCTCCTCTGTGTGTGTGCCTGTCCTGTCCCCTCTGCCCACACACTTCCTGTCCTTCCACACGGGCTCAGAGTCCATTTCTCCCTGATGTCCCTCCTGGGAGGGGGACGTCCTTTCCCTTCGTGCCCCCACTGAACGCCGTGCGCGCCTCCGGCTGAGCAACACGGAAGCCCCCGGCCCACAGTTCTGCTTTCCACGGATTCAGTTAATGGTCTGAAAGTATTACATGGAGAATTCCAGAACTAAACAATTGACACTCAAAAAACAAAAACAAAAACAAAAACAAAACCTGTTCACTCCCCAGTGGCTGCAACAGCTAGGGCTGGTCCTGGATGAAGCCTGGAGCCAGGAACTCCAGCCCACCTGGGTGCAGGGGCCCAAGCACCTGGTGCACCAGTAGGGAGCTGGATCAGAAGTGAAGCAGCTGGGACTCGGACGGGCACCCTGATGTGGGATGCCACGTCACAGCGGAGGCTTAACCCACTGCACCACCTGGGTTAAGCCACACCCTGGGCGATTTCTTTCTTTCTTTTTCTTTTTCTTTTTTTAAGTGGGAAGATTTTCTACCTTCTCTTTTTTAAAAAAGATTTTATTTATTTGAGAAGTAGAGTTATAGGCAAAGACAGGGAGAGACAGAGAGGTAGGTCTTCCATCCACTGGTTCACTTCCCAGATGGCTACAACAGCCAGAGTTGAGCAGATCTGGAGCCAGGAGCCAGGAGCTTCCTCCGGGTCTCCCACTCCGGTGCAGGGGGCCATCTGGGACATCTACTGCTTTCCCAGGCCGTAAGCGGAGAGCTGGATCAGAAGAGGAGCAGCCGGGACTCGAACTGGGTTGCCGGCGCTGTGGACAGAGACAGCCTACTCCGCCCCAGCGCCGGCCCCAGTGGGACTTCTAAATGAAGCCATCCTAGGTGTGTTCATGTAGGAAAAAGCAGCACCCAGAGAGCTTGGCCCCACACAGGACGCCTGGGAGTGGACTCTCCCCAGCGAGGTGGGGACTGCTCTGCTCGGTTACGTTGTGGTTGCTCTTGTGCCCGCTGGGCCGGGCAGCCCAGAGGCAAAACACCCACCCTCTGAGCTCAGCCGGGGCAGGCACTTGAAGGGGCAGAGCATTGGAGCCCCCACGGCCCTTCTGACTGTGTGCCGCCCAGACGCCCCCGGCGTGGCCGTCTTCTGTTCCAACACTCTGTCCTTGGACTTCTTCTGCAAGTAAAGAGTCTGTGTCTTTTCCTTCCCATATTTCTACTTCTTCATCTTTTCATAGTTCAGGCCTGGGGCCTCTGGGCATTGGTCATAGAGGAAATGATGGGGCTGGCGCTGTGGTGTAGCGGGTAAAGTTGCTGCCTGCAGTGCCGGCATCCCATTTGGGCGCCGGTTTGAGTCCCAGCTGCTCCACTTCTGATCCAGCTCTCTGCTGTGGCCTGGAAAAGTAGTAGAAGATGGCCCAAGTCCTTGGGCCCCTGCACCCGTGTGGGAGACTGGGAAGAAGCTCCTGGCTCCTGGCTTTGGCCTGGCCCAGCTCTGGCCATTGGGGCCATTTGGGAGGAGAATTGGCAGACAGACGATCCCTCTGTCTCTCTCTCCTTCTCTCTTGGCGTTGCTCCGTGTTATTATTATTATTATTATTATTTTTGACAGGCAGAGTGGACAGTGAGAGAGAGAGAGAGAGAGAGAGAGACAGAGAAAGGTCTTCCTTTTCCATTGGTTCACCTGCCAATGGCCGCTGTGGCCAGCACACCGCGCTGATCCGAAGCCAGGAGCCAGGTGCTTCTCCTGGTCTCCCATGCGCGTGCAGGGCCCAAGGACTTGAGCCATCCTTCACTGCACTCCCGGGCCACAGCAGAGAGCTGGACTGGAAGAGGAGCAACCGGGACAGAATCCGGCGCCCCGACCAGGACTAGAACCTGGTGTGCCAGCGCAACAGGCGGAGGATTAGCCTAGTGAGCCGCGGCACTGGCTTCCGCTTTTTCAATAAGTGAATACATAAATCTTTACAGCCACCCCCTGCCCCTTGGCCCTAGGGAAAAGGAAGGAAAAAAAAAAAAAAAACAAACGATGGACGCCAAAGCCAGCAACACCCGCATTGACTCCTGGCTGCATCACTTCCTGCCTTGAGACCTTGGGCAAACCAGTTCATCTCTGGGAGCCTCAGTCCCCATCTGTGAAAGGGGGATTCAAAGACCCAACTCACACTCACTGGCCACAGCCTGGAGCTGCCCGGCGCCCTGGGTCCTCACTGGGCCCTTTCTCTGTAACTCAGCGAGTCCTGGCGGCGTTCCAGGTACCCACAGAGTGCTCCAACCCCTGCCGTGGCCACGTGGTGTGCCCCCTCAGGCACCCTACCCAGCGGCTGGTTCCCGGCACTCCCAACACCAGCACCTGGGCTGTAAGATCTGGCGGGCAGGAGGTGGGCACCGGCCGCTTGAGGGCCAGAGTGAGGCCAGCGTGGCTGTGTTGAGACGGTGCTGGGGCCAGGGCTGGGCTGCAGCAATGGCTGGCGCCGCCCCAGGAGGGGTCTTCTTCACCTCCCTCCCGCCCACGTGGGCAGAGAGGAAAGGCACTGAGCAGAGGTTTGGGCAGACGTGGGCACCCTCCCGGCTGCTCTGCCGCGTGGGTGGTGGAAGACGGCGCTCAGCCCCCCGCCCCCGGCCTGCGTAGCTTTCCGGCGCGCCCCGTCCCTGGCCGCCAGCGCCTCCCGGCTTCCCTGGCGCGCCAGGCCCCGGTACCTTTGAAGACGAGCAGCTTGACCGAGAAGGTCTTGTGGAAGCCCAGCCTCTTGGCCCCGCACCAGTACATCCCCGCGTCCTGCAGGGTGAGGTTTCTCAAGGTCACGGTGAGCACGCGCTCCTGGGGGCTGTCGCGGACGGACACCCTGCCCACGGTCGTCTCCTGGCCGTCCTGTGCCGCGTACACGGTGTTGGAGCAGCGAGATAGCAGAAAGCCGGCCTCTCGGCACCAGTACTTGGGGAGTTCTTGCTGCTCCTCGTCGTAGGTGCACTGCAGCGACACCGTGTCGCCCTCAAACCCGCTGATCTCCTTCGGGCCCTGCAGGGCTCCAAGACCTGGAACCACAGCGCAGGCCGGGCTTGGAAGGGTCCAGACTCAACCCCAAGATCAAGACCAGAAGTTGCCATTTCCGCGGGAGGGAGGCAGGCTGATCTGTGGCCGCCCTCCAGGGGGCCGGGGGCGGGGCTGGTGCTGGCTTGCCACACCTGGCTGAATGAGGGGACCAGGGAACTCTGCCTTCTGACGGCTGCGAGTTGGACTCCCAGCACTGCCGCTTGGTGGCCGTGTGACCTTGGGGACCTTGCTGGACCTGAGTTTTCCCCTTTTGTCTCTCGGCAGTGCTGGGAGTGGCACAGCCCAGAGGCCACAGCTCTGCTGAGCTTAACTGGGCCGCCGCCAGGGCTGTCCGGTCTGCTCTAGGCTTGATGCAGAGCAGGGAAGTGGAGGGCTGGAGGGAGACGCTTCCTGCCACACGGGTCCGGGAGAAACCCTGCCCCTCGCTTCCAGAAACTGCAGGAGCGGTTCCCCCTCTGGGGGCTGAGGATGCGGGGGCGAGGTCACAGCCACCGGCTCATCAGGGACACGGGGTCCCCTTTCTGCTGACCCAGAGGGTGAGCCTAGGCAGGGGCCCCACAGCCCTCCCACGAGCCCCTCCCCATCTCACCTGGGAGCACCAGGCAGCCCCACAGCAGGACCAGGAGCTGCATGGCGCGCGCTGGACACCGTGGGAGCAGCGCTGAGACCGGGCGCTCCTCTCTGGGCTCTCGGGATGAACCTTCCTCCAGAGCCGAGACCCAGACAGGAAGGGAGGGGAGGGGCCTGCGGTCACCCCTGCACGCCTGGCCACTCCCCCAGCAGAGCCCCGGGAGCCAAGCCTCCCAATGCCAGCTCCTTCCAGGGGCTTTAACCTGTGGCCCGTGCACCCCAAAGGCTCTGTGAGGAGAGTTCAGCGAGCCCACGGACGTGGGTGGGGAAAATGGCACATTGACCTTGGAGAATGTGTGGTGGGCACTCGGCTGTCCCTTCTCTCAGGAGTGCAGCGTAGCTTCATCAGGAGAGAACCCACAAACACCGCACATCAAGGTGTTCGGGCGGCGTGAAATAGCACGCATGCGCCTCAGTGCTTGCAGAAGCGTCAGTTACCAGACCCGCCCGAGTGTGGGTTTTTCAAAGCATCAACAAAGATGCGTGTTTGTTACTATCACACAACTACAAATGTTTTCACGACCATTTCACTAGTTAGTTTTGTTTTAGGCGTATGTACTTTATCATATATTTGGAAGGGTCATTATTCCAAGAATAAGGTCCCTAAGCTTCGAGAGACTGCCAGGGGTCAGGGCCAGCGGTCGGGGCCCTTGCCAAGCGCGCCTTGCCCCTCTTCCGTCACCACCCGGGAAGGTGCAGTACCGCCAGAGACCACAGGGTGGCGATGCAGGCCGGGCTGAAAGGAGCGCCTACCCTGGAGCTGTGGTTGGGCTGCTACTTACACACCCTCCTCATTGTCTAAGTGAAGGGGGGGCGGGGTTTGGCGCCCAGGTTAAGATACTACTTGGAATACCCGCATCCTGTATCAGAAGTCCTGAGTTCCATTCCCGGCTCCGCTCCTAATTCCAGCATTCCTGCCAATGAACAGCCTGGGAGGCAGCAGGTCCATGGCCCAAGTTCTTGGGTTCTTGCCGCCCACGAGGGAGACCCGGAATGAGTGTGGGGTTCCTGACCCGGTCCCCAGCTGTTGCATGCCTTTGGGATGTTGCATGCCTTTGGAACCAGCTCTTCCTGCAAACCTGAGTGCGGTTGGCAAGGAACAAAACAGACACACTAGAAGGAGCCCTGGCACGTTTTTTCTGATTGCAAAGTGGATGCAGGTGGAAGAGAATTTTGCACAGTAGGGGGGGTGTCTCCTGGAAGCCCCTTCCTGCCCCGACAGTTGCCGTTAATGTTTTGGTGTCCATCCTTCCATCTGCACAGTTGGAATTTTACCTGCTTGGCAGTGTAATATTGAAATGTTAACTCTGAGACTTGGGGGGAGCTGTTGATTTCCCTGCGGTTAGGGGGCAGGGCTGCCATTCAGGCAGTAGGGAGGTCAGGTGGGTGAAAACCCACTTGGGTTTGCAATTTAGAAAAAACAGATTAAAATAACATCTGTTCTAGTTTTTTTTTTTTAAAGATGCACTTATTTATTTGAAAGCCAGCTACAGAGAGAGAGAGAGAGAGAGAGAGAGAGAGAGAGAGAGAGAGAGAGAGAGAGAATCTTCTGCTCATTCACTTCCCAAGTGACTGCAATGGCCTGGGCTGAGCCAGGCTGAAGTCAGAAGCTTCATCCGGGTCTCCAATGTGGGTGCAGGGGCCCGAGCACTTGGACCATCTTCCATTGCTTTCCCAGGTGCACTAGCAGGGAGCTCAATTGGATGTGAAGTGGGGCAGCCGGGACATGAGCTGGTGCCGCAGGTGGTGGCTTAACCTGCCGTGCCACAGCACTACCCCATTCTAGCATTTACTAGTGTAACTCTGAGGGTTTATTTCTTTTTTTTTCTTTCTTTCTTTCTTTTTTTTTTTTTTTTTGACAGGCAGAGTGGACAGTGAGAGAGAGAGACAGAGAGAAAGGTCTTCCTTTGCCGTTGGTTCACCCTCCAGTGGCTGCCGCAGCTGGTGCGCTGTGGCTGGCGCACCGCGCTGATCCGATGGCAGGAGCCAGGTGCTTTTCCTGGTCTCCCATGGGGTGCAGGGCCCAAGCACTTGGGCCATCCTCCACTGTACTCCCTGGCCACAGCAGAGAGCTGGCCTGGAAGAGGGGCAACTGGGACAGAATCTGGCGCCCTGACTGGGACTAGAACCCGGTGTGCCAGCGCTGCAAGGTGGAGGATTAGCCTAGTGAGCTGCGGCGCCGGCCATATTTCTTCTTTCCTTAGAATAATTTCTGGGCTTTCTGCTTTGCTTTTCTTAAACCCTAACTTCCTTACTGTACGCGGGAGGCAGCACCTGCATTTCAGTGTGCTTCCTAGCACCCTGGACCCAGCACTGGCATTCTGAAATAGGTCGTACCTGCCTGCAAACTGTTTTCCTTCTATTTTTTTCTCCCCAGTACTACTCAGGCATTAGGTTGCAATATTTAAATATTAAATGAGTGATGCAGTGTATTGTTGATGAGTGTCATTCTAGGAAAGTAGTGGTCTTGCTAAGTGTTTTTTCTTTCTTTTTTTCTTTTTTAAGATTTAGTCTATTTATTTGAAAAGCAGAGTTACAGAGACAGCAGATGATGGCTCAAGTACCTGAGTACTTGACACCCAGCCGAGGGACCTGGCTTGACTTCCTGGCTCCTGGCCCAGCCCTGGCCATTGCGAACATGTGGGGAGTAAGTCAGTGGATGGAAACACACACACACTCTCTCTCTCTTTTAATAAATTAATAAATTAATGAATTTAAAAAAATCTTCTTAAAAACGTTGAAGGTTAAGTGTAGTGTGGCGCCTTGAGTTGGATCCCAGAGCAGAGAAAGGGTATTAGTGGAGAAGCGGGTGAAACACTACTGAAGTCCAGGGTTTAGTTAGCAGGAAGGCACCAGTGTGAGTTTCTCAGTTTTGACAAATGCACCGTAGCTATGTAAGATGCCAACACTAGGCGACCAGAGTACAGGTGTTCTGGGACTCTCTGTTCTATACTGCCAACTTTTCTGTAAATCTAAAATTATTCCAAAATGTTGAGTTTATTTTTAAACAAATCCGGAGAGGAGTTTGGCTCTGTGGTTAAGACATCGCTGTGACTCCGGAGTCCCGTGTTGGAGCACCTGCATTCAAGCCCCAGCTGGCTGCCTCTCCCAGCGTCCCGCTATGGCGCCCCCTGGCGGCAGCAGGAGATGGTTCAAGCACTTGGGTCCCCTGACACTCTAGAGACCATGACTGGCTTCTGGGCTCCTGGCTTTGACCTGGCCTAGCACTGGCTGTCATGGGCGTTTGCAGAGTGAAATGGGAGATGGAAAGAGATGTCTGTTATTCAAGCAGAAATACGTAAGTTCAAGAACTTTAAAAAGGCAATGAAAAGCTGGTAGGGGCGCGAGAGATGACCAGGCCGAGAATGGAGCAGACAGAAACCCAGGAGGACGAGCTCAGTGGCTCCATGTCCCATGTGCTTTCAGCCTCAGGGCACTTCCTGCCCGTGAGGGTCCTGCTCCTCCAAGGCGGGGGTGGGGGACCTGGTAGACTTGCGGTCACACTAGGGTGTGGGTCAGCTTTTCATCCCTGTGGCTAAAACCCCCCAAGGGGGAGCTATTGAGGTGGGAAGAAGGTTTATGTATTTATTTTTAAATATTTATTTACTTATTTGAAAGACAGAGTTAGAGAGAGAGAGACAGTGAAAGAGAGAGAGAGAGATCTTTGATCTGCTGGTTCACTCTCCAAATGGGCCAGGCCAAAGCTAGGAGCCAGGAGCTTCTTCCGGGTCTCCCAGGTGGGCGCAGGGGCCCTAGCACTTGGGCTGTCTCCCGCTGCTTTCCCAGGCGCGGTTGCAGGGAGCTGGACCCGAAGCGGAGCAGCCGGGACTCAGACCAGCGCTCATACCTGATGCCGGTGTTGCAGGTGCCACAGCACCAGCCCTCTTGTTTATTTATTTGTGAAGGATTTGTTTATTTGTTTGCAAGGCAGAGTTCTAGAGATGGTGGGGGTGGGGGAGAGAAAGGCTCATGGTTTTGGAGGGTCACAGGCCGAGACCCTCGGTGTGGTGTCTGCTGAGGGCGATGGCGGAAGAACAGGTGCAGGGGGAGGGTCTCATAACGAGCCGGGAAGCAGCGGCTGACAGGCAGGGCTCCCCCCCTTGCAAAGCTGCCAAGATTTTATCATGGGGCTCCCCC